TTTTTTTTAAATGAGGTTATAAATATTTAAAATATGTGCTATTCAAAAATGCTTGGTAAGAAGATAGTTCTATGAAGTCCTTGTAACTTTAGAGAGAGCTCTGGTAGTGTCATCAGTAAGGAGTTGTACTACCAGCAATACATAAATGATGCCTATTGTTTCTAACTTCATAGTTCTTTAACAACCTGGTTTAGATAGTAAAGGGTATGAAGATGGAAGTCACAGGCTCAACTCAAGAGTTCATCCTTTTGTGCCTTCCAAGAACAGTGGAGTCCCTTAGTGTTTCTTATGTAGGATAAGGAATTCCAGGCATATATTTAGTATGAAATAACAAGTTGGCATAGGACATAAAGCTAAAAATAGATTTTGCATTTTTACAGCATTGTTTTGGGGTGTTGTTGTTGGTTTTAAAAAAGGCCAAATAAAAATTTGCACCAGAAACCAAATGTTGCTGAGAAAGCTTAAAATATTTCTTTCTTAGCCCAGTGGCCCTTTTTAGGCCAAAACGTGGCCCCTAGTATCTTTCACTCCACAAATCTTTTATTCTCCAAAATTGTTATTTTTCATGCTGTCACTTCAGCTCTCCCTATCTTCATTTTTTTTTTAAATATAAGAAAATCCCTTCACTGAAGTTCCAATAATCATGGGTGAAGAACAAAATGGCATATCTATGTGTTCCGCGTGTTCGGTTTGCCATCTGTTAGTGGAACCCCAGAAAAAAAAATGTTTTCGAGGAAGGAGTCATAATACGCTTTAAATGTGAACATTCTATACTGATAGATAAAGAATTGCCTATCTTTAGTAAATGAATGAGTTTTCAGTTTTTCACAATTAGTAAAATGATCATCCTTGGGTATCTGGAGACTATTAAGAATAGACTTGATGAGAAAGTGTATGTTAAATTTTAACAGACATTGCCAATTGCTCTTTAAAAAGATTGTAAACTTACACCAAGGTATGAGATTAATTCTCCCTATTTTTTTAAAAACTTTTTCTTTTATCATTTTCACAATCTAGTGAGTGAAAAACTTATTTTCAGTAGATTAGCTAGCCATAAGACTCCATTATCCAATTTGAGGAAATGGTGCTCTTTTTTTTTCATTTATTTTAATGAACGTTTACAGAGACTTCGGGTTTACATTCATTGATAGTTGCACACTTTCCTCCCTGCCCACCTCTCCCCCCAGTTTGCTTTTCTCTTTGAAAAGTAAAAAAAAAAAAAATTAAGGAAATGGTATTTTATTAGAAATTTTGCATACAGTTTTAATTGGCAAGGATAGAGGTCTTAAAAAACTGAAGAATTAATGAGCTGAAATAGCCACAAGTAACTGAAGTTTATTTTGAATAGACAGAGTAGTGAAGAGCATAAACTTTGCTACTTTTGGAGTAGACTCGGGGGTATCAGCCCAGCCCTTACCAGTCATGTGACCGTAGATAAGTTATTCTTTCAGTACTTTGGTTTTCTTTTCATTAGATGATAATCAGAACTTGCCTGCCAGGCTTTCCTTCATAGTCCATCTTGATCTGAAAACTTGTTGATAGCAACAAAAGCCTCCACTGATGGATGGTAGATGGAGGCAGCAATAAAACCCAGTCTCTCACTAGAGTTCTGCCACTTAAACCACACTGTCCTCAACTGAGGATGATGCAAATACGCCTAAAGCAGCTTACAGAAAAGGCAACAATCAATAAATGTGATCAATGTCATAATTGGTGAGCACAGGATACATATAGCCCAGCTTGGGAGGGATGAAGGACTAAAAGTCTTACCTGGAAAAAGTTCTGTCTCAACTGATTGCTGATTGCTCAAGCAATAGAAATGAACTACTAGGGCAAGCTGTAAGGGTGGGAAGGCATTCCAGGCAAAGTTAATCATTGGCCCTTTATGAGCGTTTGTCTCTTCCTGCTTTCTACTCACTGATAATAAGATGAATACGCCTCTTGTCCTACTCAAATATACATCTTAAAGGAAATGACAGCCAGCTAAATATAATAAAGCACAAGATTGCCCTAAAAGCACACAAAACAAACCTGGTTAATTGTTGCTCACCAAATGAACGCTTTTAAACCATGTTTTTATGTGGTGGATGGCCCGACTGAACTATGTGTATTCTTGCTTTCCTGCCTCGGTGTCTTGACTCATGGGAGTGCCAGTTGTGTCTGCCAACTTGTCTGTTAAGATCTTAGCCTTTATGCAAAGCCTGTTCACAGTTTTGGTTTGTTTGGATCCACAGTCAATACTTGGCACCAGCAGCCAGGAAATTAAAAGACTGTAGTATTGAGACTGTATTGTTTGCAGTTAGAGACCTCTCTAAAATGTTTAAGTGCAAAGATATCAGTCTGGAGACTAATCACTTGCTATGCATTAGAGAGCTGGACAATGACTAGGGATGATAGAAGGACAGTTGATGCCTTTGCGCTGTGGTGTTGGAGAAGAGTGTTAAATATACAATGGACTGCTAAGAAAACGAACAGGTGTGTCCTGGAGAGGGTGAAGCTGGCCTTCTCCTTGGAGGCAAGGATTCTGAAGCTTCATCTGACATACTTTGGACATGTTGCAAGGAGGGACCAGTCCTTGGAGAGGGACATCATGCTTGAGAGGGTGGAGGGACAACGCAGGAGAGGAAGACCCTTGATGAGATGGATTGATTCAGTGACTGGGGTAATAATGGGGGCAGGTGTGTCAGAGATGGTGAGATTGGTACAGGACAGAGCAGAGTTTAGAGCTGTTGTACATAGGGTTGCTATGAGTCGCAGGCGACTCAGTGGCACATAACAACAACAATCTGCTATTGCTGCTGTAACAATTCCCCACAAACTTACTGGCTTAAAACAACTCAAATTTTACCCACTTCTGGAGTTCATAAATCCAAACTTTTGAGTCTTGTGCAACACAATTTCACATGAGGTTATATTCTTTTCTGGAGGCTGTAACAATCTGTTTATATGCTCAACCCAGCTGCTAGTGGCTGATGCATTTCTTAATTTGTGACTTCCATTTTCAACACTAGCAATGACCAGTCAAGTCTTTCTCAGGATGCTATTGTTTGGGTTAATTTCTACTACTTCCATCTTGTAAAGACCCTCTACTCCTCTTTCATTTAAAGACTTGTGGTTGTAATAGGCCCATCCAGATAAATTAGATAATCAGCTGATAATCAAATTTAATTCCCCTGACAGCTTTAGTTTTTCATGCCATGTAACAATCACGTTCTGTGGATGGTGTCCTCCTAGGAGAAGGGGTGTTATTGTAACAACTACATTCTTTTTTTTTTCTAATTGAATTTTATTTTGTGTGTGTATACCATCAAATCAGATCTGACTGGTACAGGAGGAGATTGACCCTCCTCCAGCAGTCTGGTGGAATTGAACCATTCACCCCTGGGATTGCAGTGCAGCTTCTTGCCGCTAGGCCATGCTTCTTGCCACTAGGCCACCAGAGCTCCCAACAACTACATTCTTAAAGGGAGCTTTCATGGCCTAGTGATAAAGAGTTGCACTGCCAACTTAAAGGCATGAGGTTCAAAGCTACCAGCTGCTCTCCAGGAGAAAGATGGGCAGCAGTGTCTTCCATGAGATTTACTACCTCTGAAAATCCACTGAAGAGTCAGCTAGGAATCAGTTCCAATTCAACAGTCCATAAGAACAACACTCCTGAAGACATGAAGCATCAGATAAGTCCCTCTTAGCATCAGTTCCAAATCACAGCATCATCCTCCATTGTATTTCTAAGATTATAAATTTTCTAGAAGGGGACTGTGTGTCTTCTGTGCAGTAGTTGGCAGGCTATACCACTAACCTTTAGGTTAGCAGGCCAGCATTTAAGCTCCTATGCTAATAGGACTCCTATTAGGGCACTTCCTAATTTCCACTTCTGAGGTTTTGTTTTCTTAAACCTAGAAGCTTTCATGACAGACTCTTCAGGGATGTTAGTCTTTGACCCTAGAAGCGTTCAGTGCATTGTATATTATAGGATGTGAAGGGATCCACAAGCCAAACAACCTAAATGAAGTTTCACTAAAAATTATCACCAAAGGAAAACTTTGAAATGCCAAAAAATGAAATAATAAACTAAATTTTAAATTGCTACACTTGATATAGAAAGGCAATGAGTTCCATAATACAGGCTCAGAGAAAACATTTATGTGACTTGGTTATGGTACTATGGCCAGATAGAACTACTGCCGATACAAAAATGATACTAGGGGGGAGGCATGGGCAGGGAGAAAAGTGCAATAATGAATGAATGGAAATCCAAAGTCTCTGTAAACTTTCATTAAAATTAATAATTTTTTTAAAAAGGAAAAATGAGGCGCTCTGGTGGCCTAGTGGCAAGAAGCTGCACTGCAATCCCAGAGAAGCATGGTTCGAATCTACCAGATGCTCTGCCAGGAAAGGAGGGACAATCTCCTCCTGTACCAGTCAGATCTGATTTGACGGTACACAGACACACACACACACACAGTAATTTTTAAAAAAGAGGAAAAAATGACACTGATTAATAGATTTGTCTCATGGGGAACATTGTAAGTCTTGTGTCTTCACACCTGTAGTGTAAAGAAAATGCATACTATTGGGGCTTGGCACTCTGATTAGGATGGGACAGAAAAACGGAATTTAGTAAAGGAAAATCAGCAGTTATGCCTTATATTAATAGCTACAGTGTCAGTTCATCTCCCAGGGAGAAGAGTTCTCTCTACTAACATCTATGGGATACTTCACATCTGCCTTGAACATGGATTGCTCTTCTGCCAGTACATTCATTCTTCAAGCATAGTTTAAAAGTTGGTTATATGTAGAGAAGCTGGGCAATTAAACAG